TGCAGTCAATTCCACTGTACCCTTAACAAACGATGTTCATGATTGAACTTCAGGTCAATTCTGCCCATAACTAGTAACTTCTGTTTTTTTGTGTATAGCTTCCATTATTTTGGTAAAAAGTTGTATGTTTATCAAATGCCTTCATAGCATTTAGCAAAAGAGTACACATTTTTCCTTCTTTGGGCTTTTTTGTGTTATTCAAGATCCTGAAATGAAAATATCCGTGCACTTTCCATTCCTGCGGAACCTCCTTCTTGATGATAATAAGTTAGTCTAAGTCAGTCTGGCTTGTGATGTCAGCATGTGTGTGCACGTATACGTGTGGGCACATGCATACATTTTTGTGTATGTGTCTTTACTCTCAGGTTATACATAAGAATCCACTGGCTTCTTAATCAGCAATACAGTTTTTTTTTCTTAACTGAAACTGTAAATGATACGGGACTTGTTTACCCCCTGAAAGTTGGAGAGAATTCAACAGGAAAATTACATAGATAGGTATACTAAGGTGATTGTCTTTGAAATCTTAAAAATAATGACCGAGATTATTGACTTGGGGTGTTATTTACTAATTTAAGTCATTTTGTCATCAGTTTTTTTTTCAGAAAGTTATTAGTATTTTTAATTGATCAACATAAAATTTTCTGCTGTGCTTTTTTATTTCTAAAGCCCATTTTTATTTCTAATTGTGCCTGGGTTTCTCTACCATATTTATCAAAGGTCAGTTCTATGTAAAGCCACTATCCCGAGCAGAACAATTTATTGACCTGATTATCCTTGCTATGTTTCTGGCTTATTTTATAACTTACAGGTCGTTTTCTTTATCACTTCCTTCCTCCCATTTTTGTCCCTTTCTTTCTATTATCTATGAATTGACTGCTTAATTTATGTTTGATTCTGTCTTGTTTAATAATGAATGCATTTGAGGCTATGAGCATAGCCATTTTAATTTTGCGGCTGTCACACAGGAGAAAGGAATCAATAATTATTGAACACACACTCTGTCAGATGCTGTGTTGAACTGTTCCACATCCTTCCTTGTTTGCAAATGGAAGGACTCATCCCGCTTTGTGAGTCTGGTCCGAGCCTGCAGGGCATAGCCTAGGAGGAGGACATCTACAGTTTAGTGGGGGGTTTTATAGATGGCGGCCGTCACCCTGCTTCAGAGTTTGATTCTCTCAGCGGTTCCTCCATGTATGTCGCCATGTTACGCATGAGGAAACTGAGCTACAGGAAAGAAGAAGAAAGTGTTCAAGGTCCCCAGGTCACGTGGGGAGACATGTCAGGGCAAGATTCCATATGCAATCTGTCTGCAGTGACCTTCCAAATACAGCACCCTCTTAGCAAAGTCAACAGGGCAGCTGCTGAAGAGCTGAGCAGTGGATAAAGTTAACTACAGGATTGGCTGGGCTCCCGGTCCAAATCTCCGTGGTCCCCACCTCCTCCTGTTCTATGTGTATGCATGTGTGCATGTATGTGTATGCATGTGTGCACGTATGTGTTTGGGTCACAGGTAGAGATGTGCACATGGGAGTTAAAGGGTCATTTCAGCTGTCATCTTTCTTAAGGTACCATCCACCTTGACTTTTGAAATGAGGTCTCTCACTTTTATGTGAAATTTGCCGAATAGGCTAGGCTAGTTGGAGGGTAAGCCTCAAGAATCTGCCTGTCTCTGCCTCCCTAGTGCTGGGATTATAAGTGTACTACACCACTCCTGGCATAAATGCATATATATATATATATATATATATATATATATATATATATATCATATATATATTATACATATATAAATATAATTACATCATTCCCTCTTCAATTTGCTGCCTGTAATCCCTCCCATGTACCTCTTCCCCTTGCTCTCTCTCAAACTCATGACCTCTTTTTCTTTAATTGTTGTTACACACAAACACATGCACACACACACACTCCTAAAATGTAAACACAACCTGATCAGTCCATAGAATGTTGCTTATATGTATGTGATTTCAGGGCTGACCATTCAGTATTGAATAACCAGTTTGGGGGCTGTTCCCCAGGGGAAGACTATTTCTCCTGCTCTCAGCCTCCCTGGGCTGCCTGTAGTTTTCTGTCTAGTGTTGAGACCTCATGGGCTTTCCTCTGCCATGTTAGCATGTCTGTTGGTACCATCACTGTTCAGCTCATGTTTGGGCAGCCGTGTTGAGGAGATGGGATCTGGCATTCTAGGAGACACAATCTCCCAACAAACAACTTCCTGTTCCTCTGGCTCTTATAATCTTTCTGCCCCCTCTTCCTCAATGATCCCTGAGTCTCAGGTTCCAGAATTGTGTTGTAGGTGTATCCATTGAGACTGGGCACCACAAGATCTCTTGCTTGCTGCATTTTGACCAGTTCTGGTTTTCTGTAATGGTCTCCATCTCTTGCAAGGAGAAGTTTCTTGGATGGCGAATGAGAACCGTACTGATCTGTGTGTAGAAAGACAAATATTTAGAATGTAGTTAGGGATTACGCTGGATTAGTAGTTGGAGATTCTCCTCCAAGATCCCTGACTTCACTAGCCCCGTGTAGATGGCTAGGTTTCAGGTACCAAGCATGGTTTCCCTTGCATTGAGCAGGCCTTTAATATAGAGTCTGGGGACCAAACTCAGGTCATCGCGCTTGTTTGAAAGGCAAGGACTTTGCCACTGAACTCTCTCCCCAGGCTTCCACCTTCTTTTTCAAGTCCTGTGAGTGGAGCATCACAATTGAGTGTCTTCATTCAGATAGCACCTCCTTTGAGACCTCTAGCTCCTTTTCCCAGTAGAAAAAGCCAGTCCATGGTCAATGAAGTGCACCCTCGTTGTTTTAAAAACCAACTCCACAGCCAGTGCACAGGACCACGGCCCCTTAAGAGCAGTTTTTCCTGCTTGTGTGAATTGGGGAGATGATTTCCAAGTAAACCGTGGACCTGGTTATAACAGAGGGCCTGTGGGAGAGCCAAATTGTGTTTCTCCTGGCATCTGATGGGGTCAGTTCACTGCCAAGAAAGCAAGTGAAAGCTGGTAGGAAGATGCCCTTGCTTGAGAAAATGCAGGTGGCTGCACCTTTGTTTGTCCCCAGTCCATGTTTTCATTAGGAAACTGGCAGCACATGACAAGTGGGGAGAGTTATTTGTGGCATAGGTTATAGACTGTTACTTTAAGGTGTGTTACATCTGTTTATGCTGTGGAACAATTGTTCAATGATGCAAAGATGTGCTGCGTTCTGTTACGTTGCATTTGTTTAACTCTGTGAAGCTGTGTTACTCTGCCTGCCTAAAAACACCTGATGGTCTAATAAAGAGCTAAATGGCCAATAGTGAGGCAAGAGAAAGTATAGGCGGGGCTGGCAGACAAAGAGAATAACTAGAAGGAGAACTCTGGGAGGAAGGGAGAAGGAGCAAGAGAAAAGAAGAAAGAGGACATCAAGGGTCAGCCACCCAGCTACACAGCAAGCCATGGAGTAAGAAGGAAAGACCAGGTCTACAGAAATAGAGAAAGGTAAAAGCCCAGAGGAAAAAGATAGGATGATTTAAAGTTAAGAAAAGCCGGCTAGAAACAAGCCAAGCTAAGGCCAGGCATTTATAATTAAGAATAAGCCTCCATGTGTGTGATTTATTTGGGAGCTGGATGGCTGACCCCAAAAGAACAAAAACAATCAACAACAGTAGGTCTCTGTCCTTCTGTGGCTGCTAGGGCCCTGCTCTCTGGGGACTTATGTTTCAATGTGAGAGGATACAGTAGTGGAAGAGTTACCGGATGATGCAAACATCTACAGTAGAAGAGCCTCACAGAGAAGGTACAGGCAAAAACCCCATGGCCTCCTTAAAGGAAACATTTAGAGGGTGTGGGGGCCCTGGAGTTGGAGCGTAGCTTTGCTCCAGTGTGTCCTAAAAGTGTCTGGAGATCCCCCTTAGGGATTTTATAATATTCACATCTGCTGGGAGTCCTCCGAATTCACCCAGATGTTGTCCCTCTTTGACACTGGAGCATTCTTCTTCTGTGGCAGGGAAGTGTGTGGGGGCTAGATGCCAGGAGTAGATGGAGGTGAATAGGTGAGGGGTGGGCAAAGATCTGGGTCATTCAAAGCTTGTGTCCTGTGTAGCACGTGAGTGGACTGGAATCTAGAAGTGGGAATGGCCAAGATGATTTCTGAAGTATGCTGTTGGACTGGCTGGTTTTGTGTGTCGACTTGACACAAGCTGGGGTCATCAGAGCAGAAGGAGCCTCCGTTGAGGAAATGCCGCCATGAGATCCAGCTATGGGGCACTTTCTCAATGAGTGACCAATGCGGGAAGGCCCAGTCCATGGTGGGTGGTGCCATCCCTGGGCTGCTGGTCCTGGGTTCTATAAGAACCTGAGCAAGCCAGGGGAAGCAAGCCAGTAAGCAGCTCCCTTCTATGACTTATGCATCAGCTCCTGCCTCCAGAATCCTCCCCTGTTTGAGTCCCTGTTTTGACTTCCTCCAATGATGGACAGCAATGTGGAAGTATAAGCCAAATAAACCCTTTCCTTCCTAACTTCCTTTTTGGTCATGGTATTTCAGAGCAGCAATAGAAACCCTGACTAAGACCACCATTTCCCAGGAAAAACTTGACTCATATAAGTGTAGTCCTGGTATTTCTCCAAGTCTCCTCTGACGAATGGATCCTATTCACTTTTATTTGTTTATAACCATCTAATAAAACACAGGCTTGTTGGGAGCAAACAGGCTGACTATTTGATATAAAGATCTTCAGACCTTATTTATGAAGTCTCCTTGTGTAGTTTCTTTGTGCGTTTATTGCCTGTCTTGTCAGCTCCATCCACACCCCTTTGACACTTGCTTTCCCAAGAGCCATAAAACCTGAAGAACAAAGGAAATTTTCCTAATTCATATGGTAAGCATCTATTTAATAATTAACCTCTGTCTCTCAAAGGCAAAGTTAATGATGCTGTGGGTACCACACTGAGGCAAAAAGGAATGAGAGAAGCTCACAGCGTTTCATTGTCTTTTGTAAGGACTTATCAGAGGATCCGCCTCACTTCATCCTGGAAGGTGCAAGCAGATTTGACATCCAGCAAGGAAGAGCGGGTAAGAACTCCATAGCTCCCATCCCAGACTTTTGACTCAGTCGTGGCATGGGAAATCATAGTCTTAAGCCAAGTGCATAGATACCTAGCCAACCACCAGCCTGTAATCTGCCCATTAGAGTTTCCCCTAACTGGAGAAAGGGCCCCTCTAAGGGTCTCTTTGTGATTGCCGCTCTGAGCACAGTGCCTGATATGAGAGAGAATTGATGGTGTTGCCAATGAAGCAGGGATGGGGGGGTGAGGGGCTTGAGACTGAGAGCGTATTTAGAAGGACTCACATCAATACTTGTGGAGAAGGTCAAGGCTACTCATCTGTCAAGGGGAAGCAGAGAAAACTTCTACACGGGCTAGAGAGTTCCCTGCATATAAAAGGAGCAGGGCAAATATTAGCAAAGAAAAATGCAGGTGCGTTTTCTGCAATTCTATAAAGTACCATTGCTGACTCTGTTCAGTGGTTAAAAAAAAAAATTAATGGATGTCAGCCCTGGGAAACTCTAGGAAAAAGTATCAGGGAACAAGTTGAATCCCCTATTGCCAAAGCCTATCTGAGGCTTCCCTGGCCTTCCTCGCCAGACCTTGCCCCACGCCCTGTCCCCCAATAACTTCATCACCAGTACTAGCACCTCTTCTCCATCTTTCTTGGAAAATAGCTCAAAATTTAGAATAATTTGAAAATGTTCTGGTCTCAAAGATTTCTAATTGGCATTCACTCTGTATTCGTAAGAAGATTTGTTAGCTCTGGTATCCATGACCTGTAAAATTCAGGGGGTGGGGTTTCTGGGTACAACTAGTTTCCATTATGGCTTTATCCCCTCCCAGGAGACTGCTGGTTCCTGGCAGCACTGGGATCCCTGACCCAGAACCCACAGTGTCTGCGGAAGATCCTGATGGACCAAAGCTACTCACACCAGTATGCTGGGATTTTCCGGTTCCGGGTACGTGCACCACAAGTATCCTCCTTCTGTGATGGGGAACTCTTGCGATCCACGAACATTCTCATGACCTGGGAGCCTGAACTGGGAGTGACATCTGAATGCCAGTTACCTTCCCTCCTCCAAAACAGCGTTCTGCCTCCCATTTATGACCCAGCCACACATAGAGAAGAAGAGGAGGTAGATGTTTGCATGGAGATAGAAATGGTAGGAACAGGATGTTAAGGAGTCCTTTGGGCATATTTTGAGGGGTACGTTACAAGTAGTGAAGGAACCATTGACCTAGAACCTAAAGGTCATGACCATGGAGTCCTTGCCTCATATTCCTTTACCACACCATGATGTTAGTGACAAGAGTATTATAGGAAATTGCAGCATCTGGAAGGGATATGTTCTGCTTCATTATTCATCCTTCTTTTCTCAAATACCTCGGTAATCCTTGCACATTTCTCTTCCATGGGAATTTTAAAATAATTTTGTCTAATTAAACAGAAAAGCTACTGTGATGTAGAATGGAACAGCGTGCAATTTATGTATTAATTTGGAAAAATTACATTTTTATTGTTTTAATTATTCCTTTCCAGAAACAGGGTATATCTTTCTATTTATTCAGAACTGATTTTATGCCTGCCCATAAAATGTTACAGTTATGTTTTCGGATTGGTGCTGTGCCCTTCTGCGTAAATTTATCCTCAAATATTTTACAACCATAGAGCCAACATGAAGTTCTTTTGGCTTTCCTCCCCCACCGATTCCATAGTAAACTCTCTGGAAACCTTATCAAGTTCTCTCTCTAGTTCTTCTTTCTATGGTTGTTGAATCTGGATTACTTTAGTTACCTAATGATCTGATCTTCATTCAACTGGAATTGTTTCTCCTCTTTTTTTTGTTTTGTTTTGTTTTGTTTTGTTTTTTGAGACAGGGTTTCTCTGTGTAGTTTTTAGTGTCTGTCCTGGTTCTCGCTCGAACTCATAGAGATCTGCCTGGCTCTGCTTCCCGAGTGCTGGGATTAAAGGCATGCATCACTGCCGCCCAGCCTTGTTTCTCCTCTTTTAATACCCTGAGTTGTTATTTTTGTTCTTTTGCCTTGTCATATCCTTTGAATCAGAGTGACAAGAGTCAAACTCTTCCCTCCTCTTGATTTTAGTGAGAGGCTTTCCTGATGATGCCACCAGCCTCAGTTTGCTAAGGGCTTCGTTAGAATTTCTGTGCCTATGTCATATCTGAAGTTATTTTCTGCATTGTTATTTTTTTAATCATGTCTGAGTTATACAAGCTTTGTAAAGTGAACTATTACACCCTTGGTTATTTGAAATCATTTGAGTAATGTTTGCTAATCAAACATTCAGCCAAGTAGACAAAAAGGAAAGTATAATAGACAATAGTTAAATTATCTCACCCCACCTCTTATTAAAATATGACTTCTTTAGCTCTTCTAGAGTATTCAGCAGCTATTCATTTGTTTGCATGACTTCTTTCTCTTGGAGTTATTTTTTTTTAATTTCTATTTTTGAAATAACAATGTAATTACATTTGTTCCTTTTCTTCCCTCCAAACTCTCCCATATACCCCTCTTTGCTCTCTGTCAAACTCATGGCCTCTTTTTTTCATTAATTGTTATTATATGCCTATAAGTATATGTACATACATACATATATACCTAAACATAACCTGCTCCATCTGTTTAATGTTGCACGCATATATGAGAACCAGCTAATGAAGTCATTTATCTCAGAGGAGAACCTGAAACCACTACTCTACTAAATCAGCAGATTCCCTGGCCACAATTTAAACCTTTGTCCTTGTACCCACAGATAACTGGAGTTACTTACTCATATTTAGGCTTTACCAGAAAGACTGTTTCCCAATATAATGTCTTAAAGCTGCTCCTGAGATTCTCTGATAGTTCATTTAATGTCTTGTTATCTGTGGGCCTGCAAGATGTTTCAACAGGTTTGGGCCAACCAAGAATGATGACTTAGGTTCAAGACCCAGGCTCTACATGGTAGAAGGAGAAAACCCATTCCAGCAGGTAGTCTTCTGATCTCCACACATGCCACATCAGGCACAGAGACAGACCCTCTTAAGTCTTTGTTTTTGATTTATTCATCTCACTTTCACTGTTATAGGTAATTTTTAGTTAAGAAACATTCAACACTCATTTCTTTTTTTTTTTTTTCTTTATTTTGTTTTGTTTTTCGAGACAGGGTTTCCCTGTGTACTTTGCGCCTTTCCTAGAATTCACTCTGTAGCCCAGGCTGGCCTCAAACTCACAGAGATCCGCCTGCCTCTGCCTCCCAAGTGCTGGGATTAAAGGTGTGTGCCCACCACCACCACCACCACCACCACCACCACCACCATCACCACCACCACCACCACCGCCACACACCAACACCAGCACACACATCACCACCACCACCACTCACCACCCACCACCACCCAGCAACACTCATTTCTTGACAGTCTCTTCCAGCCATGTTTCTTCTTACCTTGAGATTGTGTTCGATTTAACTTCATCAGATAGAAGTCATTCCTTGCATAATTTTCTCAAACTATATGAGAATTTATCTGGTCTCACTGAAGAACATCTTGGCTTGATCTGGATTATCCTGTCAACGTTCTTTAACCTCAGAATTTCCCAGCGTTCCATGGTCTTATTATTTCCATTGTTGTAGAAAAGTCCAGTGTCAGCCAACTTTGCATGTCACATGTGCTGTCAAACTTCAAGTCTCTAAGTGGCTATCTCTCCCTGGAGTTCAGAAAGGTCTCTAGAGTACATTCAGGTGTGTACCATTTAAAAATTACTCTTGGGGGGCTGGAGAGATAGATGGCTCAGCAGGTGACAACACGTTCTGCTCCTACAGAGGACCTGAGCTCAGTTCCTAGCATCCACATTGAATGGCTTCAGCTGCCCACAACTCTAGCTCCTGAGGAACTGATACCATCTTCTGGCCTCTATGGACACCTACCTGTATGCAAGGAGGACACCAGATAAGATTGCTGTTGCTGGAGATCAAGAATACACACATATCCACATATATACATACACATAAACACACATGCACACGCACACACACCACACAAAGTAATTTTTAAAATATAAACTAAAAGAAATATTCTTGGGCTAGGGAGATGGCTTAGTCACAGCAGTATGCACACACATACATACATACACACACACACATAGATATACACAAATGTATACATGTAAAACACACACACACTTTCCTGAAGGTGAAAGAGACATTCAGCCTAAAGACTAGCCTCCTTCTGTTGCAAGTTTTCATTCCATTATTACTGGTCCTCTTTTTTTTTTTAATCCTATTCTTCACTTCCCAAAGTCCAACTAGGCAAAACTTCTGCCAGGCTCCCTAGTGATGTTGGTACTGACAGTGATCCAAGGACCACACCGAGAGGCACCAGAGAGCACCCAGAACTGAGCATAGGCCCACCACAGGACTGCTAGCCCTGCCAGGCCATGCCTTAGGTAGTTGGGATAACCAGAGACCCAGCAGAACACGAAAGCCGACCAATTACGCCAGTACCTTTGGTTGATAAGATGACTCCACACTTATCAGACTTACCTAAGTCTGGCGTCCTGTGTTCAAGTCCCAGGACCCACCCGGTGAAAGGAGAAAACTGACTCCTACAAGTTGTCCTTGACCTCCACACACGTGCTGTGGTGTGCACACACACACACACACACACACACACACACACACACACACACACACACACACCAACAAACAAATGTAGTAAAAACTCCCCAGTGTCAGCTACAGTGCTGATTTCTGTCGCTCCCCTCCTACCACTGTGAACTTGGACTCTACTTTTAGAAAACACAGAGTGCCCAGGCACCTCAGACGCTTTGCCCAGAAAAATTCTGATTTCCCTTTGAGGCACATGCCATTGGCAAAATGGCACCTGCGTGGTTCTTGAAGGGTTTAAACACTGTCCATATGTCTGTCCTCTTCACCCAGGAAATAGGACATGGCCACATTCCTGACCATCAGTCAGTTTATTTTTTTTGTCTTTATATTATTTACGCATATGTATTAATGCTTATTTAAATACATATACTTATAATGAAAGCTCATGTTTTACATAATTAATCATATACATATGCTGTGTGTGTGTGTGTGTGTGTGTGTGTGTGTGTGTGTGTGTGTATGTGTGTATGTGTGTATGTGTGTATGTGTGTGTATTCTTGATCTCCAGCAACAACAACCTTATCTGGTGTCCTCCTTGCATACAGAAAGCATGTTTGATATGCCTTACTAGTGAGAGAATGAGAGTGATTCCTAAGACAAAACTGGCCATGATAGTTCCCTTGTCCCCGGGCACTCTTACTTGTCATGACACCACCCTGGTTGCTGAACAAAATGGCCATACAATTCCACAAATCATAGTGGCTCAAAACCACTCTGTCCCTCTCCCTGTCTCATCTGGTCTCAGTATTAGCCTCCTAAGTGGTTCTTTCATGATACCATCATTTGACAGACTGGAAATGGAGTCAAGGTTAAGTAAGTATCTTGCCTAATAACTGTTATTAGGTAATAGATTAAAACCAAAATTCAGGCATAGTTCTACCCACTGGACATTATCCTCTCTATGTCTACCCAACTAAGTCCAAAGTTTAAATGGCCTTCTTGTCTGCCCTCTGGGGACTGTGATTAGCTTTCCTTGATGGTTCTCAGTAGCATCCCTGTTTCCTGAATTTCAATGCTTACACAGCTTACTGGTTGCTTCAAGAGCAACATTTCATCCCGTTGTGTCCAAGCCAGCTAGAGTGCCCTGGCTCATTCATGGCCATGAAAACATCTCTACCTTTTCCACTGACATCTCAGTCTGTTTCTCCTTCTCTGCTCTGATAGTCTGTCCTCAGGTGGGTGTGACAACCCTGAGACCTCCGGCTGTGGAAAGGGTGGTATGGATGAGTGCTCACATCCACCCCACTTTAGCAAGCTCACCTGGAGGAGACTTACCTTCATCCAGTTCAGACCCCAACCAGAGGTCCCGGTGCTCCATCCAGCCCAGTGGAAGCCAACGAAGAAACTCAGAGGGTTTTTTTTTTTAATGAACGTTCCTCATCTGCCGATGTCCCTGGGTGAACCATTTAGAGCTGAATACTAAAGATGAAAGCAGTCTGCTCTGGAGAGGAACATCTGGCTCATTTGTGCTTTTAGCAGTCAGAGCGCCAGCCAGCTCCATTTCACCATTATAATAGCAAGGCCATTGTGACATGAGGACAGAAGGGCCAGAGTCAGGCTGTCACCGCTCACTCCTCCTGAGCCAGCCACATCATCCCTCCTCCAGGCCTTGGCCCATTCTGTCTTCATCATTGGAGATACACGTGCAATATGCCTGCCATGCTTCCCTCCTGGAGCCCTCAGCTCCAGGTCGGTTGTCCTGCCCTGCCACAGCCCTGCATCTGCCACGCTTCTTGTTATTTTACATATGCTTCCCCTGATGCCCTGTGTGTGCAAGAAAGATCTGGACTCTCCTGTGTCGATCTGAAGCTCATAAAGGATTTGTCAGGATAAGGCTGTAGTTCATCGCAAAGCCCAAGTAGAGCCTACACATCCTTCTTCCCTGCCTTGATTTCTCTGAGTTAGTTGTCTTATTGTCTTGATTGGTGCCTCCTTGATTCCTCTTGCCCTTGTAGATGACATGCCTATGCCCTTTGCGCTGTGATACTGCTCTGGATTGAGTTTGCTACTGGGTCATGGAAGTCAAGTTACAAAAATGTTTTGGCTTAGGTCGGGTAGTTACAGAAACTCCCTCCTGCCCCAACCCTACCAAGACATATCCTTGTCCTTTTTTTTTTTTTCCAGTTCTGGCAGTGTGGCCACTGGGTGGAAGTAGTGGTTGATGACCGATTGCCTGTCATAGGCAAGAACTTCCTCTTTGTGCATCCTCGCAGAGGCAACCAGGAATTTTGGCCCTGCCTGATGGAGAAAGCCTATGCCAAGTAAGTGTGGGCAAGCCTCTCTGTCCAGTTTCTGTGCTGGCTCTGCTTGCCCAGTGTCTTGCCCTCACAGATGCTTCCTGCCAGCTGGCCCTGCAGCTCTCTCAGTATCTGTTCCAAATGCAAGCAGTGTCCTGGGTGGGGTGGACGACACCTTTGATCCCAGCATGGGGAAGCTGAGACAGGTGGATCTTTGTAACCAGCTTAGTCTGCATAGTGAGACTTTGTCTCAAAACAAAGAAGCAAACACTGTCCATTTGAACATCAAAGCCCTTGTCAGCTGGTGAAACAATCTCTGTAAACAATCTCCAAATTTAAGGTTTGGTCCTGGGGCCATCAGGAGGGACCCACAGACACATAGTAAGCTGTGGACTAGACAGTTCTAGGCCCACATAACATGAATGATTAGACAAATGTAAGAATCGAGATGAAATATAGTTGATCTTGGTATCTGAAGGAGCATGGTTCAAGAATCCTGTGGCTATTAGAAGTCATGATGTTCAAGATCCTTAAAAGAGATGAAATAGTATTTATATATACACACATCCTGCATGCTCTAAATCATCTATATATGTATTACATATAATACTTAACACATTATAAACCCTGTGCAAATAGTCATTATATTGTATTATTTAGGAAATAATGACGAGGAATGCTTGCACAGGCCCCTTACTGACAAAATTTGTTTCCAACCCTTTCAGTGCATGGTTAGTTTAATAATGGGTGTGAAGGCTGCAGATTCAAAGGACTGGGCTGGCTGTCATCCTGCTCACAGTCTGATGTGGTATGGATGAGGAAATGATCCTGACTCCCTGACCTACAGAGAGGCAAGCTAGGGCTGCTGGGAGACACGGCATTTGAGTGAGGATGGAAGGATGGGTAGGACGCTACAGTGAGAGGGAGACAGACAAAAGCTTGGGTAAAACACATCAAACTGTGGTCCAGGAACTGAGGGTCCTGTGTGTCTGCCATGAGATCTCATTTGTGTTGTGGGGGAATGGTTGATGAGCAGGACTTTCTCCCTCTCTTGTGGTCCACACAGGATGTTCATGGACCACCTTGCGGTCCTGACAAGCTCAGAATTTGCATGCACCCAGCTTGCTTGTTTTCCTTAAGCTTTCAGGGTTACTTTTTCAACAGATGCCCACTGAACATTTTACCATATGCCAGGCACCGTGTTTGGCACCACCTCAGACACTAGAGCGGTCTGGCTCAAGCGAATCCGGATAATGATATGCATGCACACATCTTTGTAGAGCAAGGCACTGTTCTAAAGACTCTTACAATGCCTGAGAGAGAGGTTTGGGCTTTCTACAACCAAAAAAAAAAAAATTCAAATTGCAAAAAGTAAGACAGCATCCCTCTTTGCTCTCAGACTGCAAAAGTCAAAGCTAGGTAAGGCCAAGTGACTGCCAGTGTGTAGGGAGTCTAAGAAACAGCCCTGATGGACACGCCCTGAGACAACCTCCTAAGGGCCGCTTGACTACTCTTAGATTACTCACAGGCATATGTCACACCCCATGAGGATGCTCTCTAGAAGGGCTCTAAGAGGACAGGCCTGGGCTGTTCCCAATGGCACTGTGGATGTGGTGTGATGTATCCAGGCCAGGATGCACAGATACCATGGGGTGGGTGCACTCCATGGACAGCCCCATGGCAGTTGGAAGCCATATACGCAATCTACGCCCAGGGTGATCCTTGGAGGGTGGGCTCTAAGTGAATGGGGCAAGAAACACTGAGCAGGAAAATATGGAGCCATCTATAGACATGAACATTATAGCCACCACAGTGTGCATTTTACAAGAACACAGAAGAAAGAAATGTTGCATATTAAACATCCTGATGGGATGATGGGAAGAAGAAATGCAGTGGCCTACCTGACTCCTTGTCTCATCTCTGCTTACCCCACTAACTTCCCCTCTCTCAGAATACTCCTGGCCCCTCACAGCAGAGCTTGGCCTGGTGGCCTTGTTCGTTGTCTCTCCCTCAGGCTTTAGTCTGCCCCTTTGACCCTATCTCCTGCTCCTTATGAGGTTCCAGGTACTGGCAGTCTAACTGGCCAGGCTTACACTAGGTTCCCGTTGGCCTCCTCAACCATGGCCAGGGTTCAGTGGCCATAGAGCCCTGTGGGCAAGAGCGGTGGATGAGATTGTTCCCCTCAGAAGGATGCATGGTCAGAGACAGAGAGAACAATACTTCAGAGACGTGGGGTGGGGAGTCATAGCTCACAGGAGAAAGACCATGATGCAGCCCACATCCTTGGGGAGAAAAGGAAGAGGAGAAGGGGACATAGGGTTGGAAGGCTCCGCATTCACACATGAAGAAGCTGGGCCTCCAAGTTACCAGGAGACAACAGGTGCAAGCCACTGGATCCCTTGGTCACCTCCCTGGGACTCCACGTAGCAGGGCTGCAGCCTGGCTGGGTTCACAATCTAGATGAAGAGGCCCCTCCAGACCTCTTTGTGTGCGTTCTTTCTTTCTTTTTTTAAGAGGCAATTTGTGGAAAAACTAAAGTTGTTTCTCCCTTCTTTTGTCGGGAAGAACTGTGCGTTCGCATTGGAGAAAGAAGTCGAGATAACAGCCAGGGCTGTTGAACCAGAGCAGGCATTCTGGGAGGTTAATTCACTCCTAAGCTACTTACACAAACATCACCATTATCTTTCCAGGCTAGATCCCACCCTTATCACTTCTGGGCCTCATTTTTTTTTCCCCTTATGTAAAAAGAGGGAGCCTGGGAGAATTAGAAAGCTTGAGGATGGAAATGATGACTTTGACCCCATTTTGTTAACAGCTGACCTAAAGCAATCATTCAGCTTGAAAAGAAATGGGAGACTAGGCCCCAATCCCACATTCTCCCGCCTAAAGAAATCTAGCTGGGGATAAAATGTTTCAAACTATTAAAGCTATTTAAAAGCTTTGCCCCGACCCACCCACCCGAAGAGGAGAGTTGCCGAATGCAGAAGTGAATGCCAACATTTCAGAGCTTGAGCTCCAAGAGGCCTCTATGAACATCGAGCACTCTTTCCTGTGAGGGATGAGGAAACCAAGGCCCAAGAAGGTCACCGAGTGGTCAGGACCAAGCTAGGACCAAGAGCTGCCCCCCCAGTTTCTTTCTGCCAGTTTTTGACATCAGTTCTACAGAAAGAGATCGGTCTTGTTTGCTGCCTGACCCTGGGACCCCCACACAAACCTGGAGAGCACAGCTGTCTGTGGCAGAGGCCACTGGCCCCGTGAGGGGGTAGAAGCAGCCCAGTGAACATGTGGACTCCCAATTCCCACTTCTCACCGTGCTGGGGAATCTGGAAGTAAATTAATCAGATCAGGCAAGTGTCAGGCAGAGCAATCTGTGTTTGGAGATTGAAGAGATGGGGACAAGATCTGGCAGGCTGGGCATCGGCTGTAGCGGCGTCTCTGTGGGTAAGAAATGCAGCATCTCGGCCTCCTATCAGGCTCAAGCTTAGACATCTGGATACTTCTATTTTGTCAGAGCATGAAGTCATTTCCTCGAGATGAGGCTCAAGCAGCAGGCTCGCTCAGAATTCCAGGGTTCAGGTGACAAGGCACTGTTCTCTCTCTCTCTCTCTCTCTCTCTCTCTCTCTCTCTCTCTGTCTCTCTCTCTCTGTCTCTCTCTGTCTCTCTCTGTCTCTCTCTCTCTCTGTCTCTCTCTCTCTCTTTCTGTCTCTCTCTCTGTCTCTCTCTCTCTCTGTCTCTCTGTCTCTCTGTCTCTCTCTCTCTCTCTCCCTCCCCCACCCTCCTGCTTCCTGTCAGCAACTGGGACTAAGAATAGTTGACGTGTTCCTGAAGCATCAGCAGGATCCATAAGCCTGGATCTGTCAAAGCGTCCAATGACCACTGGGTCAGGCTTTGTAGGCACCGAGGACAGACACTGAGAGAAGGTTCTGGACTACATGAGGAGAGATGCTGGCTGTGGTAGAGTGGACAGGGAGCCCTTCTACTGTGTGTGGTGTCTTTGTGGTGACAGCAGAGTCATGTGGGTAACAGACCTCAGAGGAAGCCCAGAGCCATTGAGATGGGGTATATTCGTGTAGAAGGGTCAAAGCCCCCAGTCGCTTTCCTGGAGCAACCACCTTCGTGGGTCCTGCTTAGAACTGGGAGGGACCCTTGGTACAGGCACGAAAGATTGGTGCAGCGAAGTACTAATAGATTTTGGAATGGCCCTTGTTAGCTTTGCTGTCCTCAGTAAAGACCTGTGACATTAAGTCAAGTCTTTAGACCTAACTGGGCATAACCTTGACCAAAGAGAACATGTGTCGCTGACTAAGAGAACACTGTGGAGATAAAGAATGTAAAGCCCATCAGAACCTGAGGTCACAGGGAGGCCAGGAAGGCGATAAGATCAGCACTCATTTTAAACAAGGTGGGTAAATGTCACACGAGTGTCCCATTGATTTGACCTTTTGGTTTGTGCATCCTTAGGTTTCTGTAGTAAGAGGTTTTTCTGAGCAACCCTTAGCATGTGTGCCTGGGACACAGTGGCCGCTTAACACATATTTGCTAACATGATTTTGCTGGACTTCTATGTGGTCCTAGGAGGAAAGTGACCAAGGTAGAAATAGGATGAGGAAAGAGTGTCTGAGGGCCCCAGTGTGAGCCCAGTTCATCCTGCTGTGTCTAGTAGAAACTCCAAGAACAAAATGGAGAAGGGTCATCTCCAAGGCCAAGTACCTTGTTATAGGCAGAGGTGAGAATGGACCCAGGCCCAGACTCCCATTTTATTATTTTATAATAGCAAAAGAAGCAAAGAGTCAAGGCAGGGGCTTTGACCATCGCGCATGAAAGGCTCTGCATCTGCTTGCCAGTAGGGGACAGATGCACAGAGATCTGGCAGGGATGGAGGGAGGGCAGCTCCTGCATTCAGGAGACTGCCCGCAGGCCTCCATCGCCTATCCTTCAAGCCTTACCATGGCTATAGTTTAGGGACCTACAGTTCACCCCACTGCGAATCTGGCCCTGTGACTCCATCTTTAGTGATATCATTGTGACTATTGCAGTGTCCTTTCTCCCAGAGGTCACAGGCTTCCCGCAGCCCTGTTGTCCACCCGTCTAGGTTCACCATGCTCTACTGCAGTGGTTCTCCACCCATGGGTCACAACCCCAGGGGAGAGGGGAGGAGGGTGTCAAAGGACCCTTTCGCAGGGGTTGCATATCAAATGTCCTGCATATCAGCTATTCACATTATGATTCGTAACAACAGCAAAATGACAGTTATGAAGTGGCAACGAAAATGATTTTGTGCTTGGGGGTCATCACAACATGAGGAACTGTATTAAAGGGTAGTAGTGTTAGGAAGGTTGAGAACCATGGCTCTCCTGGCTGTGGGAGCCTCTCCAGTTTTATTTCCCCTCCCTGGAATACCCCTGGCTCTCTCTTGACCCACATGAACCTCAACTCAGAGTCGAGGGCCCTAGGCTGGGACCTGTCTGTCATCTGTCTCCCATGGTTACTTACTTGTTTTTTGTAGATACCTCATGATGTCAAAGGGCTTGGTTTGTGATCATTGACAACCCTTTCCAAAGAGATTACATCTTGATGCCAGGCACTGGTGTGGAGGACAGGTCGATCTGGAGCAGGGAGAAGGGGACATGCAGACCATTGTGCCTCATGATGCTGGCCATGGCCAGAGGCTTTCTCTATGCTGCCCACATTTACTTAACTCAGTGAGGCACATGTAAATGTCCTCTCCTCGAACAGGCAAGGGTGCCTGAGAAAGCTCAGTCTCCTTCCAGGATATTGAAAATTTGTGAGAGGAGCCAAGGATGGGGCCTTGATAATGTGTGATGGGGTCCTGAAAGAGGATCAGAGAGGCTAAGTCAATTCCTGCCATCACACAGCCAGGAGGTGATGAGCAGGGCTCAAACGCTGAGGTTTGAAGCAAAATCAGAAGAAAACAAAGCTGAGACAATGGGGCCAGGTATTTCTGAGGTATGGGCACAGAAGCAGAAGACCAAAGACTGGGGGTGGGTGAGAGAGGTGTCTAGAGAACAGGTCTGAGGGTATGGATGCCCAGACTCATCCCTTCCTGTGCCACCTTCACTAAAGCCTCTCCCCCTCCTAATTTCCAGGGGGATGGGTGGCATTATAAACAAGAGATCTGGGTCAGTTTTCCCAGAGTGAAAACAAAGAGTGCTCGTCTCCAGGTTGAACTTGGGGATGTTCATTGTGAGTTCTTTGAGGGTGGGGATGAGGTCTTGTTCATCATGGAGCGTGTACCCAGGGTGGCCCTGAACATGTCCATGTTTCCTGTGTCTTCAGACCGAGGAGACCGCAGCAGCAAAGATTCTCATCAAAACAGCACTCAATGTTTTCTAGGGGCCGGCTTGCCCTGGTCTTCCCTCCTCCTGGGGGCATGGTGTGTGTGTGTGGTCCCCTGCGGATGGAGGAGTCTCTCACCGAGGGAACACACACAGGGTTGATGTGCAATCTCCCGCTTCAGGGCTAACCTGACCTCCCCCTCCCAGGCTGCTTGGCTCCTATTCCCAGATCCACTATGGCTACCTTCCCGATGCCCTGGTGGACCTCACGGGAGGCGTGGTCACCATTGTCAATCTACACTCCTCCCCTTCCGACCTCCTGATGGCGGTGAAGACGGCCGTCAAGGCGGGCTCCATGGTGGCCTGTGCCACCCCAAAGGGGGTGAGTAGATGGGGGCTTCCTGGGTGCCCAAGAAGTTTCTCTTCACCTAGGAGTATCCATCCAGAGTCCTTAGCTAGGGAGGAGACAGGGACTCCAAAATCATGCCATAGAAGAGGAAATGAGCTCAGAGAGATTGAGTGAAGTTTCAGAGTCACGTGGCTAGGGGGTGCTGTGCACTATTGGAATTCAGTCGCCCCCCCCACACCCCCATTCTCACATACTGCTTCCTTATGACCAAGAGCAGCATGTGGGCCAGGGTTGACCAGAAGGCTTTCAAGGTGTCAGAAAGGGCGACTGTAGTTATGGGTAGCTCCGTTGTGTTTTCTTTATGTTTATAAAAAGCCGTGGTTCTCACCAGCCATAGGGGCAGCAGGTCTCATAGTTTGCATGACCCCCAAATTATTTGAGTCTATTCTAAGATGCCTGGCCCCCTGTCTCCACCACACTTCCTGTGCTCTTAACATTGGCCAAGTCATACTGCTCCTTCGGTGGGGGGGGATGTTGTTAGGGGTGGAAGACCCTGCTGACATGTGTTATGCTGTGTCTTGCTCATGACAAATGGTCAGTGGAGCAAGCAGCCCATGTCCTCAGAGCCCTGTGAGTTTCATAGTCAGTGGGGTAGGTAGCTCCTGGGCATAAAACATTGGGACCTCCCATCCAGTAGCCTCATGATCCTAGGAAGGGTTTTATACACACACACACACACACACACACACACACACACACACACACACACACTTCCTGCTGGGGGGGAAGCCCACTGACTCAGATGCTGCCTGCATGTATTTTTCTGTGTCTCCAAAGAACTCTGTTCTTCTCTTCTGCAGCTGACAGATGAGTCGGAGGTGATGGAAAATGGACTGGTGAGCCAGCACGCCTACACAGTAACTGGAGCTGAGCAGGTAAGGCTGAACCGCTAGCCTGGCATCTGTCCCTGGGATCCTCTAAACAGGAGGTAGAGGTAGATGACTGCTGCAAGTCCAGTAGCTGACAAGAGTGTTTCTTTCTCTCGCTCTACCATAACTCCCACCTCCAGCAGTCTCAATCCCTTCTCCAGTGTTACGGTGCCTGGGGTCCTTCTCCCCATGACCATTTTCCCCCTATATCATTGCTCTCTGTGAAGTGATCACAGGGGTGTGGGTATCTAGTTAGGTAGGGGATTTACTCCAAAGAGGGGTAGAATGCATCACCCAAATTGACTCTGAGGAACACTTTACCTTGGAACTCATACAAACTAAACTGATAGAGCAAAGCCCCCCTCTAAACTACACAAGCTTAAATGAGATAGCATTTGCCTCTCTCTCAGGTAAGCAGGTGATCCTGGGTCAGTGGGTGTCTTAATCACTGTTCCATTGCTGTGAAGAGATACCATGACCATATTGGTTTTTCGAGACAGGGTTTCTCTGTGTAGCTTTGGAGCCTGTCCTGGAACTCACTCTGTAGCCCAGGCTGGCCTCGAACTCACAGAGATCTGCCTGCCTCTGACTCCCAAGTACTGGGATTAAAGGCATGAGCCATCACTGCCCAGCTCCCAAGGCAATTCTTATAAAAGAAAGTATTTAACTGGGGCTGACTTATAGTTTTGGGAAGTTAGACCATAATCACCATGATAGGAATCAGACAGGCATGGTACTAGAGCAGTAGCTGAGAGCTTTACATCCTGATCCACAGGTAAGAGAGAGAGAGAGAGAAATATGTGTGCATGTGTCTGTGTGTGTGAGGGGGGGGGCTTTTATAATCTCAAAGCCCACCACCAGTTGCACACTTCTTCCAACAAGGCCACACCTCCCAATCCTTTGCAAATAGTTCCACTAACTGGGGACCAATCATTCAAATATATGAGCCTGTGGGGGGCCATTCTCCTTCAAACCACCAGACTAGGTAACTGACATCCAAAGCATTGGATTCTATTGGTAGGTTCAAACTACATGGTACCCTTGTCTTCCAGCTTGGGAAAAGAAAGAGACCAGGGGCCACCCTTTGCTACCCATAGTGGACAAGAATGAGAAAGTGATCCACCTCCCCCCCCCACACACACCCACACCCCACAGCCCATTAGCCTGCATTTAATCCCCCAGCCATACAGTGACCCAAAGGTGGCTGGGAAGTGAAGCACACTTTGTGGCTGCTTCCGTCTGCTCAGGTGCAACTTGATTCCACGAGGAGGAGGGGGCAGTCTATAGAACTTACTACAAGTGAGTGAAAATGTGTGTGGTTCCTGGATCAAGCGTGATCCATCTGGAAAGCACTAGGGAAGTCCAGCTGCCTCCATTCTGAAATGACACTCTGAGCTGGTGGGAGAAGGACCCGTCTGAAAGTCATCAAGATGGCTACCTGTGGCATAGCTCCCTGGCACCTGCGTGTGTCCCCCCATTTTGTTCCTGCAGTCATCAAACAGTTGTGCAGTGACAACATTTCCTGACACCCCCCCCCAGGAGTTCCTACAAGTGTTCCCTGTAACTGTATGTCCCACTACTCTTGAGGTCAAGCACAGCTTCCATATCCGAAGAGACAGAGTTCCAAACTCCAGGCAGATCTCTCACAGGTGCCTGTAAGCTAAGGAATACTGAGTGTCAAGTGCCTTCTGTGGCCTTCTCAACCTGTCTCAACTCTTCTGTGCCAATCTGTCTCTCCCACCTACCAACTTAAAGCTGGTTCCCCCATTCTTTCAAGTCATAGTTCACAGCACGGGGGACCTTATTCTGTCCCGTGTGCCTCCAAAATGGTAAATTGGCATCAATATACTTGAAGACAGCAAGCGTCTAATAAATGCTTGTTAAATGGATGAGTGCAATTGCATGCTTGAATGAATGCATTTGCCCTTGGCCTTGGATTTTTCCCCTATCACAGAATATATGACAGAGGCCTAGAGGGCATTTCTATGAGCAAGGTCATGGTGGCTGCAGACTCCCGTCCTCCGAACTATGCACCAGACCTTCTGTTCTACTCTCCCGACCTCTTCCCGGGGATTGTTTGTGAAGCCAGCGGTACTATCATCACACTGGCCATGTGTAGACACCCCATTTCCTATAACCCCACTCTCCCAGATGTGGACAAGTCTCGGGATTGCAAATAGATTTTATCTCACTTGGCAGCTGTGGCCACTTAACTATGCCGTCCGGGTTTCTAGATGGACAAGACTTTGATCTTGCTTGCAGAGTTGGAGAAAGAGAGTGGTCATCAGTTAGTGTTACCTGTGGTGAGCATGGGATTGAGAGAGAGGTCTGAACAGATCCCCTGACCTGGGATGACAGATGATCAAAGCCCTATGGCCTGTATAATCCTGCCCTGCTTTTCCGAGCAGGTATCACGTCACAGAAGGTACCTTCAGGAGACGTTCTGTGGAAATGAATACATTTGAAGAATGCATCTCCTCATTTCTGCCTCTTGCAGATGGAATGTACATTCACAGTTTAAAGGCTCCTGAGAGCACCACCTTTAGTGCTCCTTGGTTTTAATCAACCATTAACAAGGAAACCACTCTTTCTGGAGTAGAGCTATTTATAGCCAATGGAACTAGCATTCATTCAAGAAAATACGTCTAAGAAGCTGCTATTTAGGACAGATAACCTGGGCTACCTTTTGTCCAGTGACGCCTTTGCTGAGAAGCCTAACCAAGGTCAAGAGGATGGTTGGGAGCAGTGAAGTCATGAAGTCATTCGTATCCCTATCCATGGTCTTAGCTTTGAATGTGACCTCTGCATCCCTGGCCACAGACTACGTAGCTACCAACTGGGCAGGGTCATAAAGGACACAAGGGCTCAGGGATTTGACTTTGCTAGAGGCTCCCTCCCCCATCCAGAGCGAGAAGGCTATAACTCTGAGCCACAAGTGCTAAGATTAAACCAGCCTGTAAATGTAGTATGCTTTTTAATCTGCTCATCCTCCCTCCAGGCAGGACATAGACAGGAAGATAAATGAAATTGGCATTTTTTATTATGCACCTAGCTCTTCTGGCAACTCCCCTGGGCCAAGGGGTGAGTGTTTATCTGCATGCCTCATTTAGCCCTGCTCGCAGCCCTCCTGAATCACTGGCTACTTCTCCTCCCTAGGCCCAACTGAGCCCCTGACTCCACTGGGCACCAAAGGGGGCGCTCATGAAGCTCTGTGGCACACAAGGTGACCCTGCTTTGTGGGGACCAGCAAATGCTGGCAGCTGAGGGGAGGCTTGGGGCAGATCAGAGAGGATGAGAGCCTGGGCTTGTGCCAGTAATCTCTGCCCTCTGGAGGAACTGTAAGCCTTCCAGTGCATGCTGGTAAGAGACTGGGCAGACCTGGAAAGAAACAAGCAAAAGACCTTTTCTCAGCCAAGGTCCAGGCTCTGTACCATGCCGTTCTTCAGAGCGCATCTGTGAGTGATCACATGGGCCTAAGCAAGGTGACTCAAGGCTTATATCTGAGGCCAAGGCCACAGCCACATCGAAGAGTCTTTTTCCATATCTAATTCCCAAATTTAGAGCGAGGCCTAGGGCACTGACAGCAGCTAGGATGAGAATTCTCCCTGCCACTTGCTTACTCAGTCTTGGGAAAGTTTATTTACCTCTCCGATTCTGTTATTTCCTCTGCAAGACAAGGATTGTAGGAATGCCCACCCCAGAGACCTGAGAGTAACTTCGCTGGGGCCTCGGTGGCGGCGGCACAGTCTCTCCTTGTCCAGTGAGAGGCTGCTGAGTTTCTCAGCTGCCTCTGCCATGGAGTCAGCGGGCAGCCCCCTCCTTCCCTAGGCCTTCCATCTCCTTAGACAGCATTAGCATGGATCAATAGCCCCACTACAGCTCAATCATTTGACTTCAGTCCCTCTCTCCAGGCTGAGGGTTCCTGGCTCCCGGAAGTGTGGGCCGGGCTGGTTTGTTGCTGTCTGTTGTAACAGCCGCAAAAATTCTAACGCAGCGGCACAAGTGAAACCCTGCATGTCGGAGGTGGGGATGAAAGAGGGGAGGTTCAGACTATTAGAGGCCACCTTCTCATACACCTGGGTGTCTAGTCGGGGGCAAGATGGAAGGTTAGCCTTGGCTATCCCAGCTCCAAGGATGCCCCTGGGTGGCTCATATCGGCCTCCTCCCAAGACTGTGCTGGAGCCCCTGGTAGGCTTCTGGCATGGATGCAGGCTGTACGGTGGGATAGAGAAGCCTTCTGTGAGAGGGATTAGGCAAGGCAGGGGACCACAAAGCTGTCTCCCCTACAGCCAAATGCAGCAGCCCATGCTAGGTCTCTGCAGTTAAACCTGAGTTCACCCAGCTCCAGGAGACAGCACCCAACATGATGGAGCTACCCCTGCACCTGCTGGAGGCTGAGCAAAGCAAGGGTCATTTTCATCCCTCCCCCGCTTCTCTCTCCCTCTCTCATTCCAGCTCCATGCAGGCGGCAAGAGAGACATTGATTTTTTTTTTCTTCTTTTCATTTTTCTCTTGGCTGCAGCCAAATGAGGTCAGAAGTTAAATTAGTCCTGGGAGGTAAAAAAAAAAAAAAAAAAAAAAGGAGCTGTATTCATACTTCAGCTCTCGGCTGACTTTTGCCAGAGAGAGCCCTGACGGTTGCTTTTTCTGCTCCTCCTTACAGATTCAGTACCAGAGGGGCTGGGAAGAAATCATCCGCCTTTGGAACCCCTGGGGCAACACAGAATGGAAAGGGCGCTGGAGAGATGGGTATGAGCACTGGAAACATGGGCAGATGTCGATTGTTCACTGAGCACCTGGGCAGGGTCTGGCCAGCCCACTGCAGGCTTTGCTATGCACCTGGCCAGTACATCACTGGTTATGGCTGTGGGTGTACTTACACTCCCAGGAATCGTTTTCCAGGCACTTATTAGACACCTATTGTGTGCATGTGATAAAGTTAGGTAGGTGCTGTCTACACACACACATACACACACACACAAATGGGAAGACCCAGTGTCTGTCTCCCAAAAGTCTCTGAGATCTCACATACCCAAGATTAGCAAAGAGGGTAATGAGGCAGGATGGGAGCCATGACTCCCCCTTGGGAAAAGACAAGTAGAGAATAAAAGCATCCTTCCTGGAAGGAATTCTTTGGATTCAGATGCTGATGCTGATGCCCACAGGATCAGAGTGGAGCAGGCTCCATGCCAGGCAGAGCCGAGGACCTGAGACCATGATCTGGGTGGTCTCTTTACCGAGCAGACTCAGATGCTCGACTGTCCCTTGACCTGGACTTCATGGACCCACGTGCCTGCAGTACACCTTGCTCATGATGGGGGTTGCTGAGTAGCTAGATCTCCAACACCCTGATGGGCATCTGGGTACTCAGCAACTTCATCCAGGTGCTGGAATGGTCATGCTCAGCTGCCGTAGCCTGACCTCTGGTACCCGACTGCCTGCCATGAACAATTAAGTGTTTCCGCATGTGAGAGAGAATATTCAATATTTGTCCGTCTTTTGTCCCTCCCATTGGATTTTCTTCCTCCCACCTCAGTCCCCAGTGCCTTGGTGACTGAAAGGGAGAAGGACAGAGGGGCAGCAATACTTTATTTGCCTCTCTTGGTGGCCAGTGGGGCTAGGTCTGTCTCATTCCACTCAGGATCTGTGCAGACCTGTTAAAAGCCATCAGAGCACAGCGGCTGCAGCTTCATTGCCAGTTGGGGATGGGAGCATGATCAGAAAGGAAATGCAATGTGTCAGACAAACAGAACAAGACCCAACACGTAGTGAAAATCAATAGGGTTGATTTTCACAACAGCTCTGGAAGTCACATGCAGACAGCCAGTGTGACTGGACAAGCCGCCAACACCCCAGTGGGGCTCCCTGGGCTAAGCTGAGGCAAGCCCCCTTGATTCGTTGTGGGCCCTGGAGCTGGTGTGTCCCTGGCCTCATGGATGGGCACCTAGCGAAACGTGTGAATGTATGATGGAGCAGGGAAGAGAAGGAAAAAGAAAGGAGGGAGGGAGGGGAGGAAAGGAAGGAAGGGAGAGAGGAAGGGACGGACGGATGGACAGACGGATGGACGGACGGATGGATGGATGGAGGGAGGGAAGGATAAAGGAAAGGAGAGAAACATCAGGACAGGTCTGTAGAATAAGCATGGCTGGAACCTCTGATGCTCCCTGGAGATAGGAGAAGGGATGTGACCTTGGGAAAACATGCACCCATGCGCTATCCCAGCCTGTACAATGCTGCCTTCCTTGGGTCCTCTTTCTTCTCTTGCCTCTATTCTTAAAGTTATGTTTTTTTCCTTTCTTCCCTCCTGGGGATTAAACACGGGGCTCATGCATGGCAGGCAAGCTCTTCACCGCTCTCAGCCTTCTTCGTTGTCTGTTTGAGGCAGGGTCCTGCTTTACTGCTTGGTCTAGGCTTCATTCACTCTGTCACCCAAGCTGGCCTTGAACTTGCCACCCTTTCCTCTCAACCTCCGGAGGGGCTGAGATGACACACCTGTGCCAGCCATCCGACCTGGATTATCCTTTACTTTTTCCAAAGTAAATCTGAGTAACCTCTGGCTGTCCCCGGTTCTCCGTGCCCAGCGCCCCAAACTGCTGAATGTGGCCCAGAGGATATTTTGATTGGCAGGTAGAAATAGAACACGTCAGACCATTGACAACAGGTTCCCGAAGGTGAGGGCAGACAATAAACTCAAAATGGTTAATATTTCCCTTGGTTTTCCATGACCAGTGAAGGCCACAAGGGACATCGGCGCTCAGAGAAGAAAAAGGTCCTGTGGGTGGACGTATTAGGGAAAGTGTGACAGATGGCCATGAACAGGAGGTGTCCTTGTGACAAGGGTATGGGGTGTGCTTCAGAAGAGAAGCGAGCCAGGGCCCCTCTCCCTAGCCAGGAAACTGCTGGGCTGTGGCAGAGGAAGCAGGGATGGGGAGAAGGGGCCTGAATCTTGGATTCAAACCCTGCCAGAATGAGCATGAATGGGGCCTCTAAACAGGAGTGTGTGTCCAGAGCAGTGTCCACCCTGTAGGATCAAGTCCCCTGGCTGAGTGTCAGCCCCCCTCTCTCCCCAGAACCAGGCTGGAAGGAAGTGGTGGGGACCGCATAATCACTGTCTCTATGCAGGTGGTCGATTTCTTCCCTACTCCTTAGGAATGGAGACGGATGGCGAGAGCCGGATGGTTTAATCTCAGCCATAATTGAAATTTCAGTCGCACACACTTAAAGGCAAACTTGCATGAATCAATAGCGTATTGATTTACACTACATTTATTTTCCCTTACACACTGCAGAAAATGTAATTATCGCTTAATTATAAAATTGCCATTTTACAATAACACATCTGACTGCTTCAGCCAGCCGCCGGAAGCCTGGGTGGTGGTCTCTGCCTTGCTGTCCTGACACAAAGGTGACCCGGGCTCTCAATATGGGCTCCTCTATAGGAAAGATCTCATTAAACTGTTAGGCCTCTGGGGCCTGGAACCTGGAGCTTGCCTCTCCTCTAAAACTCAAGCTGAATGAGGAACAGCTATTGCCTTTTGCCTAGAAGGGTCTCTTTCCCATCACGCCCCAGGACTTGCTTCTGGAATGCATCATCTCTGTAGTGTAGCTAACTAAGCAAAAAAGACGAAAGTCATTGCGTGGAGTAGTCGTCATGGTGTGTGAGGTGCCTGTGATAGTGTCGCGGAAAGCAAGGCCACTGCTCTCTGGGCATCTGGAGTGTAAAAAGAGAAAGAAAGACAAAGCAGTGGAGGAATAGCTACACAGAGGACTAGGTGTACGGGAGCCCAAAGGAAGGGCCAGGTCTCAGCATGAGCGTGTGAGCATTAGCCAGGCTTCTCACGCAGGGTCCCCCTTAGGTGAAAAGATGCGTGAGAGGTAGCAGGTTAGCAGTGATAGGAGTGTTCCTGATGCAGGAGCATCATCGTGATGAAAGCCAAGAGGTGCGTGTGGGGAAGGGGAGCGGGGAGGAGTCACCCTCTTTAAGGAAATGAATGATCGCTGGAAAAGGACCTTCAAAGGTGGGGGTGGGGCAGGAGCAGCCCAGCTAAACCTGGAGAGGTCGGCAGAGGCCGCGGTTTTCTTAAGGAGTCTGAACTTTGCCCTGGCAGTAACTGGCTGCCACCAGCATGTTGTAAGCAGGGACGTGACATGATCGAGCCCCGGCTTTTGGAGGGCTTGTTTCGGTGGCTGTGTGGAGAAGGGGTAGGAGAGTGGGCAGGAGGACTATATGCAGGGAGATCAACGGCATGTCCATGAGGGACGGAGAGGTAGGCGGAACTAGGGTAACCGACGGAGGAGTGGGACCAGGGCGTCTGTGAGATGGGCCGAGGAGGGAGAGTCAGTAAATGAGTAATATTTGGGGACTGTCAGGAAGTAGAGACAGCAAAAGGTTCTTGTGTTCCAGCTCGGTAACAGGAGGAAGTAGAAGAAGGAGGTGTGTAGATGTAACCAATCGTATTATTAAAATAAGAATCACAGAGCCAAGGTAAAAGAGAAAAGCCGAGAGGTCAGAGCTCAGAGATAAAATCTTACCTCCTCCAGTGCTCCTAGCTTCCCCGAGAGAGGGAGGTACTT